AGCTCAGGTCAAGGAGAAATTATAGACTTTCTTTCTTTTTTTCGAAGAAAGGTTAATTTATTCTGTATTTGATAAAATGTTAGATTGTAATATGATTTTTTTATATTTCTTTAAATATTTAAAGTGAAATAAGAGACATATAATGGTAATTTAAATCCTGTATTTCGTATCATTTTCTGCTTAATCATATTTTTCTATAATTAGTCAATTTTTTAAAAAAAATTTTTTAAAAAAATATGATATAATCTCTCACGTTTCCGTAGTTTCATAATTCTTCTATAATATTCTTTTATAATTATATATATAACGCAACTGGAATTGATTAATCTAAAAATAGACTTATCTTCTTCATACCTTTATAATTGACGTTAACATATCGGATAATATTCTCATAACCAGTTCCGTTCCTCGTTACTACTAAAGATGATCATGATCGTTTCATGGTATCCGTTGATCGATATCTCTTATTGCGGATAGTACGTACATGTTATTAATTTTTAGCCAACACGTTCTTGCCAAACGACTGGTTGCATTTAGTATCCTGCAATGCGGATAAATTAACGCAAGGAACATAATTTTTACTTTTAAAAGCATTGTCACTTATCGATGAAATAAATTGAATTAGTACCTTTGAACGATTTTTTAAATGTGAAACAGTGTGTTTGAATATTGCTCAAATAATTTGCTGAAATAATAGAACAAGAATCATTTTGCTAGGGAATTTTTTTAAGTCAAAACTTCATGAAATTAATTGACCGAATTAGTGACATTGGAACGAAGGAAATGAATAATAGACTTCCAAGCAATGACTTTGAACTTATTCCATTAATTTTCTGGTTTCGTATTTCATGTTAATTTAAAGTATTTTTGCAGCATGTACAAGATTAATAATGGAAGATTATTGTTGGAAGTATAAGTTTTTTTCATATTGATAAGCGATAATTAATGAAATTAAATATAATTGTTGCATTATACTATAAATTGTATATTATAAATTCTATAAAGCTACATAATATATATTTATATTATATATTTATTATATTATATGTTTTATATTAGCATTATTAATTTTTTTAAGAAAAAAGATAAATAAATTTTAAATCAAATTTTGTTTATCTTTTTACCTAATGACTAAATCAATCAAATGCCACGATCGCATCGAAACGAGTCATCGCGAAAGTTTTGTGTGGAAACGGTATTACCTAGCGTTCTGCAATGCGGCCGATTCAAATGTCGGCGGAGAAAGGCGGGTTTTTCGAGTGTCTGGCCGTGACCCGCTTCGAATTACATAAGTGAGAGCCGGCTCGGTCCCAAAGTCGACTCAACCAACATCGAGCGAACGAACCGCGCGGGGTGAACATCCAGACAAGGTCAGAGTCGTACGATCGAACTAGTAGGATGCATTTGCGATGCATTTTGCAAAATTCCTTCTTTTCTCTTATATCTACGTGTATATTCTCGAGAGTAATGAAGGTGTCGCTTTTGTTTCCAAGAAACGAATATCGAGATCTTCGCTTTGTTGAAATTTAAAATGTTCAATCTGAAATTAAAAACTGAAAGAAAATAATTTTATCGAAACAATATTGAGTATATAATTATACAGTTGAATTATGTTAATTAATAAAATAAATCTTAGAATTAAGAATTAGGATGATAGATTAAAATTTAAAATTTAATATTTTTCTTATTTTACGAACTTAGAAAGAGAAGAAAAATTCATGAGTCATTTATTTTCGAATATTCTAGAAAAAGTCAGTATGATCAGATACTTAACTTAGATTAACGAATAATCAATATTTTCGATCAGATACTTTAAATTAAAAAAATGGATAATCGACTTATGGATTATCCGAATTAATTGACAGATAAATTCTTTCAAAATAATCTCTTAGGAAAAAATAAATTTACGAAATAGAAATTAAATGATTTTCAAATATGAATACTTATTATGTAAAAAAATAATTATCAGAATGTAATTTTTACAATTTTAAATTTTAACAATTTTCAGATATTAATTTAAATACATTATACATATATCTTATGTGTATCTATACCTTAAATAATCAATATTCTATTGAAATCTAAAAAATAAATTTCAATGAACATTTTTGTATATAACCTCTACGTTTATTTTAACTTCCAGAATCATCCTTTCAATTTTTTATCTACCTCATCCGCATACCTTGTATATAGTAGCAACAAAAATAGTATATTCGTCGCGATCGTCTTCATCGCGTCACATTCTGGAATCCACACATATTTACACATAAATCGTCTCGAATTATTCTGATTGATACCAATACTCGAGTATTATAACCTGAAAATAATCCCTTACGTAACGCGAATTTGCGAACTACTAAACGAACACACAATTCGGGTCGCGCTGCCATCTAGCGACGGCGAATTGGCGTGTTTGATACGATAGAAAAGTTACGGGGTCCCGTTAATTCCTCTCGCCTTAGTGAAAGACTTAGTTACGACACTTTACATTTGGCCGGAGTGGTATGCAATTCGAAAGAAAATTGTTGGGTCGCGGTCGTTGGTATATTAATGGTAAGAATACGATGAAGTAATCTGTGTGGAAGAAAACGAAAGCGCATTTAGAACATTTGAACGAACGTTAAAATAAGAAAATCAACGTGTACGATCGATATTTCATTATTGCGACGGATCGATATGAATTGGACTCGAATCGATGATGGGATTGGTCAATCGTTTTTGTGAAGTGAATAAAAAAGCTTGGCATATAAGATAAGACATATGAGAAATGACATATGTGAATAATGATTCTATCATATTTCTATAAAATTTAATCAATTGAAAAATATTGTATGGAATATAAGAACGTAACAGAATTAAGAAATAAATAATTAAAAATAATTACTTTTTATTTTTACTTTAAATAATAATAAAATAAATTTTTTATTCAAACAAGAAACTAAATTATTCAAAATTATATGAAATGACACGAATATCAACATGAATACCGACTGCTGTTAATAAAACAAAATTTTAAAGTGCACGATTAAAACGTTTGCAACATTTAACAGCGTAATCTGACAGTTTCTGTTCATTATTCTCTTTTTTCCTCTCTCTCATAAGAGAACGAGACGTTTACGTTGGAGTTCATAATTGAAACTCGTAAAGTCGACGCACGGATTTGTCCCGGGGTTCTTTAATCGTGTAAGCTTACGTAATATGATCCAATTTAGCACGAGTTGGTTCGGTTTGTTCGTTCTCCAGTGATACATGGCTGGGCTAAACGCAATTCTCCAGTCTCATAATTATCGAGGAAATCAGCCAAGAAATCCACGAACTCGTAAAAAGCAACGTTACAATGTGGCTTGTCGATGTAAATTCAATCCGAACAGTTTTACGTCAAGGATCGTGGCGTGAGATATCGTTTGTGTATCGTTTATTAGAGACAATTTGTGATGTAACTTTTAGAAAAGTAAGAAAATTCTTGGAAATTTTTATTTTATTATCGCTTATCTCATAAGATAATTTCTTAAAGATTAGACTAAAGAATTTTTTCGGAAATTTAACGAACATTCGGTGAAATTATTAAATTGTAAAATCAAATTTTTGTGAATATGAATGATAAAAATGAAGCTTGAATAGAAATGTTTTATTTTTTCAAATATCATATTTTGTATTAAATTTTGCGTAAATATCAATAAATTATTATTGACATTTTTAAATTAATTATCTTATTAAAAAAAGATTTCACATAAAATAAAAAATGATTCCAAATACATTAATTATCAAGTAAATGTAATATAAAAATTCGGAATATAAATAATGAAATAACTATAATATCAGCTTAAATGATATAACAGTAAGAGACGTTAGCCTCTTTAACTTCGTTTTAACGAAACAAATGGTTTCACTAAATCTTTCACATCGTCTTTACGAACATTGTAAACTTCAATCGTTTGAAACGCCTCCAACTTCTTGAACGTTCACCCATCAACCAGCAAGATTTCCAACAACGCGACGAAACGTTACGAGGCATTCTTATCTACCGGCAATATCTGCTCGTTATATAAATTGAAATCTTTCCCACAATAGATTCTAGCAATCGATTCCGCGGTTAAAACACGAAATGTAGAGCAAAATATAAAGAAATATTTTTCATTATATTTTACCACATATTCATACGATAGTTTTAAATTATTTATTTGTTAACTTTCACGTATATTTATATTCGTTATTTAATTTTTTACACATTTATTTATTAATATTCGTGATTTCAAGAAATACGAAATTTCAGTCTTTGTTTATTTACTTTCTAACCTTACTTCTTAACCTATCAATCTAATCAAAAATCCATGTTTTTGTTTCATGTGTATTTCATGTGTATTTCTCATATGTAAGGATATGAAATTAATCAATATTTATTATTTTTTATTTAATATAATTATCTATTAAAGAATTTCAGAAATTAAAATTTATTAAAAATTTCCAAAAATCAGATTTTTATCTATCTCTAATTCGTACAAAAATATAATAAAATTTGAATATGCTTTATTATATAAAAATTATTCTATATTTATACTATATATATAGTTACCAATTTAATCATGTTCATTGTACAAATATCAGATATTAATATGAATACGCATGTTATAATCACACTTATATTTCAACGTAGACATCGAGTATCCTTCTACAAACGCAGCATGTATTTCATCAAAGTAACGCGCCGTTTACGCTTTGTGACGAAGAAGCAGGCAATAAACGCATGGTAAGAGCACTTTTCCCTTAATTAAAATGTCTCCTCGCATGCTATCATTGGCCGTCTCGTGTACCACGGACATTGTATTTTATTAGACCGTGATGTCTCATTTCCGGTAAAAGACGACGAGTCACACGTAGATTCCTCTCCTTTCGAATGATCGTCGTTAGTGTTCTCGTCCAATCTCGTTTCCTTTCTGCGTAAATCTACTTTTAGAGGCCATTATTTCTAGTGACCTCTGAATTTATTAATTTGTCACTAGAAATTGGTGAATGACCTTTTGTGCTATAGTAATCTGAAATTTCGAGTAATCGTTACGTTAATTTAAGATATTTGTTTCAAAAATTGATTGAGATGAGTTTTATTAATTTAAATTTTTTAATATTTAGGGTGTTATGATAAAAGAAGAAAAAATAATGACACGTACTATCATTTATTATTTATTTTTATTACTTCAAAATGATGCAAACTTTCATTAAAAAATATTCAAAATTTTATTAAAAAATTTCAAAAAATATTTATGAAATATTCATTATATAATTTATGAATAATAATTTTGTAAAAATCAAAAATCTTTTTTTTTTCGCTTTGATGTAATAAAAATAAACAGAAAAAAAAAAAAAGATTATTTTTTCAGTCCATTTTTCGCAATTTAATAAAATTAGAAAAAATTACAATATTAATATATTTACATAATAATACAAATTAAGTTTTTTTTCATATTTGCAATATATATAATTTCTTACGCCTAATAAAAATCGAATCGAAAATATCTAATATATTTTGCATTGCATATTTTATTCCAAACTCTGATAACATTCCAAATCCTTACATAACCTATCCACATAAAATATATTTTTTAAAAACTTCAAAAACTTTAAAAATAATTCAAATATATTATGTTTCTCAATCGTGGGTATATTTTGATATATCTTTAACCTTTCTATTTTATTTGCATACGAAAATTCGTCCAAATATGATTAATATAATTTTTTGTTGGCATCTACATTTCAAGGTCAAGTCGCGTAACTCGTCTAAAAATGATGAACATTAGATCAGAAATGGGATATCTCTCTCTCTCTCTCTCTCTCTCTCTCTCT